CACATAAATCGTCATGCTACTTATTAGTAGTTCATAATTTAATAAGATATTCGAAATCGGAAGTGGTCTGTTGTTTTGACACATTTGTGCACAATAGAATGGAAATCGTATTTATATTTACAGAATATCATTATAGTCACTCCGTCACTGGGTAAGGCTTGGTCCGGGATAAATAACATTTTTCGGTTTTCTAAATTATCACCATTTATGTGCTTCGAGCTCTAACGATTCAATATTAAGAATGAGACCAACCAAGATTAGAACAACTAACATTATTGATAACGAATTCACCACAAGGGTGAATAATAAATGACGGTGGTTATGAAAAGTGTGAAATACATGAGTACAGTTTGAACTTGTGGTTGCGCGCGTGTGTGTTAAGTGTTTGAGAAATGCATGGAATTAAATGTGGTTGTTTGGATAAATGATTCATATCGAATGAATAGTCAGATCTTCTTTTCCTTAATTCGGTCTAAAGCATTTCGAAAAGGGTTGAATATAGAATGGAGGCATTTCATCAAAATATCCCTTATGGATTAGTCAGTACAAATGACGCAATTATCCACATTTACTTAGGACACATGGAAGTAACATACTATCGTTTTCACTTATTCAAGTATACTTTCTTTCACCAGCCAGTTAAGCATGAAGTTACAATCAGAGTGGATGAGAGGGGATTGATATTCCTCGATTTTGACCAGGAGAAAATATACATAATATGTATAAATGTTGTTGGATGTGTAACTTCTGTTCTCGAATCGAAATGTTAAGAAATTTTCGAACATTGTAAGATTCTTTACATCCTCATATTATCGTACACATTATTGACGAACTTTTATCATATAGTCATAATTACATTGAAAGTACCTCCTCACTAATTAACTTATTATCTCGGAAATTTTATCTTACCCTATAGAACAGTCGCTATACGAAGTTCTGGGAAAAATCTGACTTACTTACCGTTTACATGTTCCCATGGTAGTTATTTCTGAATTCTGTCTCCTAATCACTCCATGTAATGGGTAGGTCTATGGTGTGAGACTTAATCTTAGGCTTATATTCACTTATGACATTATTAAAGAATAAATCAGATGTGAAATCAGTAAATTTTAGACAAATTTGTGATGTATAACTAGAAATATTTTTCGAGGTAACAGTGAACAGTGAATAAGTACCACCATAGTTTGCTGAATTCATAAAGGAGTTTGATTGGAGTTTGCTTAGTTTCTTCGCTCACTGAAGTATATTGTGAGTTTAAATTGCTCAGTGATGTAAGGGTTACAGTTCCGAAATGGCAGTAGGCTGGTTTGACACTAAAATAATCAGTGCAGGTGATTCTACAATTCAAACTTTACTTTAACACTGGACTGAAAGGTGTACCTCATGTACATCTAATTTCAGCCACTATGAATAAATCTATTTTGGTGGATTTCGATTTACGAAATCTACCATGTTCTGAACTCCAAAAGAATGAAAACATCATGAGTAGTCTATGGTGCAACTATTCAAAATAGTTCACCGTTATATATTAACAACTCAACTGATCACCAAATATTAAGTAATAAATCTATGGATTAAGGAACATCCCATTTCTCTCTAATAATATCTGTATGAGTTCCTAGATCACACATTTATTAGAAGAAAGGTGCCTATCACTCATCTAAATGCCCATAACGATTGGTTTTAGGATGTTCAATTCCAATGTTATCATCGATTAGGTTGTTCATTGTGTTAAATAAATGACCACAGAGACTGATGCGTTGACGACCACAATTCCGAAACACAAATATGTACCACGTCAAATACGATTTTCAAAAATGTTAATTCCTCAGCGTTCATTTTCAATAACATCTAGTTTATTCTAGGTGTAACGAGATCTATCTACTGAATAAGTTTGATAACTGGATGTTAAAAAGTGTTACTATATTCATCTGCATTAACTCATAAATGTGAAGTTAAGTATAGTTTCATCTCTCCATAATTGCTTGAACAAAATGCTTCTTATCTCTGTCGCCGTTAGGAAGTCCCATCATTTTGTGAGGATAAAGAAGTATCCTGTATTTTGTGAGTACGATTTACGAGTTGGTCCGTAAAATGTCCTTATTTTAACATGCTTTCCAGTTCTTTATTAAGAATGATAGGTTTTCCATGTACAAATACGTCTTCAGTTACTAGCTTATGTTTATGTTGGAACTTTGCCAGAGTGACAGGAAGGGATTTGGAATATATTTTCTCAAGCAAATGAAAGTAATAACAGTTGATCTACTGATGAATAAATTGGAGTGTTCCTAGAAACTTTACAATTGAGTATAAGGTGAATACCAATCAAATGGAGGTGAGTTAATTCCTAAAACGGTGTATAGAAATTATTTGGAAATCATTCATTACACAGTGAGAAGATAGTATTTCCGATCACCGCTGCACTTGATCGACAGGTGTGATAAAATAAAATTCAGTCTTATTTATGTTATACAATGATTGTAATAAGTGTCAGCAACACTTATGATCTCTAAAGGTTGTTTATTTCTGGTTTTGTGAATTTTATATTTCAAGATGAAAGACATTAGTCCGTTCGGTACTTAGCGCGAACAGAAGACACAAGCTGAAGTATTGTTTCTTCATCGGATCAACCAACTGGTAAATATAACTAACTGTTTGCAAACGAGCTATGGGTAAAGAGGTGAAAATACCGTTCTGGAATTTCACATAAATCGTCATGCTACTTATTAGTAGTTCATAATTTAATAAGATATTCGAAATCGGAAGTGGTCTGTTGTTTTGACACATTTGTGCACAATAGAATGGAAATCGTATTTATATTTACAGAATATCATTATAGTCACTCCGTCACTGGGTAAGGCTTGGTCCGGGATAAATAACATTTTTCGGTTTTCTAAATTATCACCATTTATGTGCTTCGAGCTCTAACGATTCAATATTAAGAATGAGACCAACCAAGATTAGAACAACTAACATTATTGATAACGAATTCACCACAAGGGTGAATAATAAATGACGGTGGTTATGAAAAGTGTGAAATACATGAGTACAGTTTGAACTTGTGGTTGCGCGCGTGTGTGTTAAGTGTTTGAGAAATGCATGGAATTAAATGTGGTTGTTTGGATAAATGATTCATATCGAATGAATAGTCAGATCTTCTTTTCCTTAATTCGGTCTAAAGCATTTCGAAAAGGGTTGAATATAGAATGGAGGCATTTCATCAAAATATCCCTTATGGATTAGTCAGTACAAATGACGCAATTATCCACATTTACTTAGGACACATGGAAGTAACATACTATCGTTTTCACTTATTCAAGTATACTTTCTTTCACCAGCCAGTTAAGCATGAAGTTACAATCAGAGTGGATGAGAGGGGATTGATATTCCTCGATTTTGACCAGGAGAAAATATACATAATATGTATAAATGTTGTTGGATGTGTAACTTCTGTTCTCGAATCGAAATGTTAAGAAATTTTCGAACATTGTAAGATTCTTTACATCCTCATATTATCGTACACATTATTGACGAACTTTTATCATATAGTCATAATTACATTGAAAGTACCTCCTCACTAATTAACTTATTATCTCGGAAATTTTATCTTACCCTATAGAACAGTCGCTATACGAAGTTCTGGGAAAAATCTGACTTACTTACCGTTTACATGTTCCCATGGTAGTTATTTCTGAATTCTGTCTCCTAATCACTCCATGTAATGGGTAGGTCTATGGTGTGAGACTTAATCTTAGGCTTATATTCACTTATGACATTATTAAAGAATAAATCAGATGTGAAATCAGTAAATTTTAGACAAATTTGTGATGTATAACTAGAAATATTTTTCGAGGTAACAGTGAACAGTGAATAAGTACCACCATAGTTTGCTGAATTCATAAAGGAGTTTGATTGGAGTTTGCTTAGTTTCTTCGCTCACTGAAGTATATTGTGAGTTTAAATTGCTCAGTGATGTAAGGGTTACAGTTCCGAAATGGCAGTAGGCTGGTTTGACACTAAAATAATCAGTGCAGGTGATTCTACAATTCAAACTTTACTTTAACACTGGACTGAAAGGTGTACCTCATGTACATCTAATTTCAGCCACTATGAATAAATCTATTTTGGTGGATTTCGATTTACGAAATCTACCATGTTCTGAACTCCAAAAGAATGAAAACATCATGAGTAGTCTATGGTGCAACTATTCAAAATAGTTCACCGTTATATATTAACAACTCAACTGATCACCAAATATTAAGTAATAAATCTATGGATTAAGGAACATCCCATTTCTCTCTAATAATATCTGTATGAGTTCCTAGATCACACATTTATTAGAAGAAAGGTGCCTATCACTCATCTAAATGCCCATAACGATTGGTTTTAGGATGTTCAATTCCAATGTTATCATCGATTAGGTTGTTCATTGTGTTAAATAAATGACCACAGAGACTGATGCGTTGACGACCACAATTCCGAAACACAAATATGTACCACGTCAAATACGATTTTCAAAAATGTTAATTCCTCAGCGTTCATTTTCAATAACATCTAGTTTATTCTAGGTGTAACGAGATCTATCTACTGAATAAGTTTGATAACTGGATGTTAAAAAGTGTTACTATATTCATCTGCATTAACTCATAAATGTGAAGTTAAGTATAGTTTCATCTCTCCATAATTGCTTGAACAAAATGCTTCTTATCTCTGTCGCCGTTAGGAAGTCCCATCATTTTGTGAGGATAAAGAAGTATCCTGTATTTTGTGAGTACGATTTACGAGTTGGTCCGTAAAATGTCCTTATTTTAACATGCTTTCCAGTTCTTTATTAAGAATGATAGGTTTTCCATGTACAAATACGTCTTCAGTTACTAGCTTATGTTTATGTTGGAACTTTGCCAGAGTGACAGGAAGGGATTTGGAATATATTTTCTCAAGCAAATGAAAGTAATAACAGTTGATCTACTGATGAATAAATTGGAGTGTTCCTAGAAACTTTACAATTGAGTATAAGGTGAATACCAATCAAATGGAGGTGAGTTAATTCCTAAAACGGTGTATAGAAATTATTTGGAAATCATTCATTACACAGTGAGAAGATAGTATTTCCGATCACCGCTGCACTTGATCGACAGGTGTGATAAAATAAAATTCAGTCTTATTTATGTTATACAATGATTGTAATAAGTGTCAGCAACACTTATGATCTCTAAAGGTTGTTTATTTCTGGTTTTGTGAATTTTATATTTCAAGATGAAAGACATTAGTCCGTTCGGTACTTAGCGCGAACAGAAGACACAAGCTGAAGTATTGTTTCTTCATCGGATCAACCAACTGGTAAATATAACTAACTGTTTGCAAACGAGCTATGGGTAAAGAGGTGAAAATACCGTTCTGGAATTTCACATAAATCGTCATGCTACTTATTAGTAGTTCATAATTTAATAAGATATTCGAAATCGGAAGTGGTCTGTTGTTTTGACACATTTGTGCACAATAGAATGGAAATCGTATTTATATTTACAGAATATCATTATAGTCACTCCGTCACTGGGTAAGGCTTGGTCCGGGATAAATAACATTTTTCGGTTTTCTAAATTATCACCATTTATGTGCTTCGAGCTCTAACGATTCAATATTAAGAATGAGACCAACCAAGATTAGAACAACTAACATTATTGATAACGAATTCACCACAAGGGTGAATAATAAATGACGGTGGTTATGAAAAGTGTGAAATACATGAGTACAGTTTGAACTTGTGGTTGCGCGCGTGTGTGTTAAGTGTTTGAGAAATGCATGGAATTAAATGTGGTTGTTTGGATAAATGGTTCATATCGAATGAATAGTCAGATCTTCTTTTCCTTAATTCGGTCTAAAGCATTTCGAAAAGGGTTGAATATAGAATGGAGGCATGTCATCAAAATATCCCTTATGGATTAGTCAGTACAAATGACGCAATTATCCACATTTACTTAGGACACATGGAAGTAACATACTATCGTTTTCACTTATTCAAGTATACTTTCTTTCACCAGCCAGTTAAGCATGAAGTTACAATCAGAGTGGGTGAGAGGGGATTGATATTTCTCGATTTTGACCAGGAGAAAATATACATAATATGTATAAATGTTTTTGGATGTGTAACTTCTGCTCTCGAATCGAAATGTTAAGAAATTTTCGAACATTGTAAGATTCTTTACATCCTCATATTATCGTACACATTATTGACGAACTTTTATCATATAGTCATACTTACATTGAAAGTACCTCCTCACTATTTAACTTATTATCTCGGAAATTTTATCTTACCCTATAGAACAGTCGCTATACGAAGTTCTGGGAAAAATCTGACTTACTTACCGTTTACATGTTCCCATGGTAGTTATTTCTGAAATCTGTCTCCTAATCACTCCATGTAATGGGTAGGTCTATGGTGTGAGACTTAATCTTAGGCTTATATTCACTTATGACATTATTATGTTGATATGCATCACCTTAAAATCAGTCACTGAATGAACTTACTTGTACCCAATTAGGAATTAAAAGTTCTGAATATGATCAGCTAATTATCGATATTAAGTCGGATGATCGTGCACCTTCCAAACAAACCAGCTAATCAGTAGAGTCGTTACTTCATGTGTTGATGGAACCACATATGTGATAAAGAGCATTTCTGTCGACATCCACTGAACCGGATTTCTTATTACGCTGATTCCCCTCTTAGTAGTATAAAAATCTTCTATTGGCATACTGACATTCCTCAAAACGTTATCACTCTGAATGTACTTCATTGACTTTAGAAAAGAATATAATTCGTGACTGTCTAGTCAACCAGCTATTTAAGTAGCTAGTTTCGGTTTGTCACTTTGGCAAATCTTTCAGCAACAGTACAGCTTAAACATGAGATGAAATTGTGAAAACAAGTGTGTTGTCTGGTGGAAAAATTTATTATTAAAGCAAAAGTACATCATTTTTGTATAAGGATAAGTCCTTTAACAATTTACCAGTTTCATCTCTCTACAACAGTTTTCTGCGTTTAAAAGTCGTCGAAATGCGTTCGCGTAGCGCTTGTTACGAAAAGCGTAAATAAATGGGTTGCAGCAACTGTTGAGGTATAGTAACCACGAAAGTGTTGTATGTAGAGTCTCTGGAAACATGCACGTGCAAACAATTTCTCCTAAATGTACCAGGAGAAATGGCAAGAAACAGAAGAGGAAACAACCGACCACTATTGTCATGACCTTTACTGTTTGCAGTTCTCGCCTAAATGTAGTCTGATCTCGAATGTGTTCAGGAAGACAGAACTTACTTCTATCATTTTCGACGAGGATTGCTTGATGAAACTCTTTATTCTTAGCATCAACTACACTGAGATTACAACTTCGAGATTCAAGCTGTTGAGGATTTTCTGAAATGAAATGTAGTCCACAACTATTAAGACTGTCGATATCATCTGGGTATTCAGATTTCAATACATTCCTACCTCTATTCTGACAGTCTTGTTCGGGAATGGTTTTTTCTTTGATGTCTTCATTTTCCCTGTGATTCGGCAATGTCAGTTTTTCACCCTGGTCTTGTTCAACGGGATCGGATGTCTTTAAATCGTAGTCCATTTGTTTGATTTCCTGTTTCGTTTTGTTTACTACTGGAGGATGCATATGAACAAACACTTGTGTAGAGTATTTATTTTTAACAGGATATTTGAGTAATCCATCAATACTGTCATTTAATTCATTATTAGTTGACATTCGACAGAATATTTTGAAACGAACTATCAGTGATTTGGTGAACATTGGTATGTCAAGTGAATATCTAGCATGAACAAGAGGTTTCCTACTTGAATTACTGTAGGAGGTCATTATCGTGTCTGATGGTTGTCTCTGAACGTTCCGTGAATGATCTTGATGTACATTGACAGTGGGGAACTTGAACACTTGTCGACATCGTAGTGAATGACGTCTTATGGCAGAATATATCATCGAATAAACACATACAATTATCAGAATTGGTATAAACCAAAGGAAAACAGCTACATATAATCTGAAACTAGTATTATAGTTCAAGTAACACACCCCCTCACTGAAATGGTGTTGGTAACTAAAAATATATGGTAACGCGACGGACGTGAATGCCAACAACCATGTACCCAACAACATGCTGAACGGTCGGTGGCAGCCACGAGTTCTGTTGTACTGTAATGGTTGTGTGACTGCTATGTATCTATCGATAGAAATGCAACACAGACTGAGTACTGAAGCTAAACAAAACAGAAGATTCCCAGACATGAAGTACTGACACAGTATATTGGACTGAAATGGCCAATACCCGACATGTTGACGAACAATTGCCAGTGGAAGTATCAAAAATGACAGGAGAAAATCAGCTACTGCAAGAGAGACAATGTACATATCGATTTCAAGCCGGAGATTTTTTGTCATTGCAAATGCGACTATCACCAACAGATTTCCGAAAAATATTACTCCTGCCAAAACGACCGTGAAGAATGTTGTTGTTATTCTGACTGCTGGATTCCATTCAACAGAAGATCTTATTCCATTGTTAACTGAAAAATTCCCCAAACACATTACACACAGTTTACACAATTTGAAATCCATACCCTGTGATTCGAACTGACTATTGAATTATGCAGTTATTTCAAAGTCAGGATTTCACAATCGCATATGTTTATGTATAACACGATTCTCATTAGAACTAATTGGTTCAGAATAATATTGAAATATCTATTCGAATTACGTTGTTAGTTGATAAATTCTGCATTTATTTCTAGTGGCTTATAAACATATCTAGAAAGGCTTTCGGCCAATAGCTTTCACGTCATTACTTGTAACCATATTAAACAAAGACTCACATCTATTGGTCACCAACCAATCAGACTTCATGTCTAAAGCCAATATCCTTCGTTGTTACATTCAGCATATATATCATATGTTATAGAATAGAAACGGGGAAAAATGAAAATGTTGGCCTGTCAACAGTTTTGCATGGTGGTTGATGGCTAGTGACACATCTATCTATGATATATTTACCTGTTGCAAATCACATTTAAATTGATCAGTTTTAAAACTGTCCATCTGAATGCTAACCATGTGCTCAATGATGACCTGATTTCATGTGGACTGGTGATAGTTCGTAACCCATGTAGTCAATCAAGTCGGTATTGAGTTGGGACCCTAGCGATGGCACTGAATAGTGATAGTGCTATACAGAAACTACCTGTAGTACTGAGAGATGACCGATGGATTTCCATTCATTAATTGAGTAATATTAATGTGCTTGTGAGAACAGCAGTTAATAGTTTTGATATTAAGTGAAGTTATGATCACCCAGCGTTGAGAAGTCTCAAATTCGGACGACAGAGTGATCTGGTGCTATCATATATTCAGAGATTGTTCAGCTAATTTCAGGAGAGAACCAATTAATTTCATAATAAAACTGATAATAATATTAATCCGAATAGTTCAAAAGACAAAATGAATATATATAACTAGAAGTTGGTTGAAATTGTGAAGTGTATTTACAAAGAATACTATGTAAAACGGCTTCATCTCTCTTCTTTTAACATTTAAGTCATTATCAGGTGGTAATAAACCTATCTGTCATCATATTAGGCTTTCCTGGTGCTTTTAATACGTTCATGTATATTTTTTTACTCAGCCTATGATATGGTTCACGGCGAAAACGAATATTTTACTAGAATGTTGTGTAAAATTTAATTAACTACGGTTTGAGTTCTTCAATTATAGTATTCGGATGCTGAGCTTGATGGCACAGAGTATGTTGTGGCTTGAAAAATGCAACTGGAGTATAACACTATATCATCTCATAATATCAATTGATTGGACATCAAACATATTAATTACGTTCAGGTGTTGATTAATTCAGTAATAGATCTTATGCAGTAGCTGATGTTCTGAATCAAATTTTTGAACTTCCATCTACTTATTTAGTCTATTCAAGTTTTAAAACTTGTTCAATTTCATGTTCGCTAGCCTCGCTGACCCCGTAACCATTTACAATGTGAACTAAACCTTTCACGCTAAACCTATATTTTATACCATATTATCGTTACCAATATTTGGCTGCATTATTAGCAATGCATTTTTCTTGGGATCACATATTTTTCAAACATATTGGTCCTAGAAAAATTGATTAATCAATACGAATTTCTGTTGACTAATCTTGTGAACTGTGCCAGCTGATCTTCATGTTGATTTCCACGTCTTATATCGCTCTATGTAAGAATTACTCTTCTACTTTGAATTAAATGGTTTCATTATGTAGTCACATTGACAAATTAGCAAATGCATTCTCGCAGTCAAAATAATCCCAAAATAATCAGATGCACAGTTCTACAGCATATAAACTTATCATCCTGGTGTACAATATGTTGGATATACTGAAAACTAGCGGATCCCATTTAACAGGGTAAATAAATTTTACCTTATTGTAGACCACAAGTTTAAACTGAACATTTTGTGTAAACCAAATGACTTCTCCATCGTTTTCAAATGATTCGTATTTTCCTCATGCACTTGCGATATTTCATTGTACTCTTCAATAGCCTTCGACCATTTGAAGCTGTAAACCGTCTATTTATATCCAATGGTCTCTCCGATTAAACAGCATGTTCATCCTGACTGCCTATTGTAAAGTGGAAGAATTAAATAGTTAGTAGCGTTGAAGTTACCGAAGTATTATCATACTGGATATCAGTCAATCGACTCTACGTACAGAGATTAAACTGTCTTGACAACACAAAACAATGTTTTTCGTAGATATGCAAAGCGGGATTTATACTCACATTGAATGGACTGATTCACCGAGAAGAGAAATCCATACAATTTCCTACTAAAATGTTCACCTCATTGTTAAAACCGTATATTGTAAAGTAAAATACTGAGAGTGTTATGTATGGAGAAACGTTTATTGACCAGTTTATCTCTAATTCATCGGAATAAATATTTTGCTTCCATCTCAGAAAGTACCTGGATTTGAGTGGAGTTAGTGAGGTGCGAGCTTCTTCAACATTACAAACAGAATAGTCGAATAAGGAATATTCTGCTCATGAAAACACTTGATCTGCATTTGGTTTATTTCGATTTAGTGACGATCAAAGGGAGGATAAAAGTAATCGTAACAGTTCGAGTAACGATTAGCTTTCTCAAATTTCATACGAAATTATAACAATAGTAAGAGATCCATCTGCTATATTTTACTAGAAAAACGAATAGAATTAGTTGTCTTTGAGTAAAATTTGCTGTTTGGTAAAACTAGTTGTTAATTGTTCGACTTGACGTTGATAATATTTGTTTGCTCAACTACAAACACGATTATTTTTTCATTATGACGGTTTCATTCATTCATCACTTATATCCTCAGAAGTGAGTACAGAAAATCAGTGACAGAAACAATCTGGTGTACATCACGTGTTGTTATATATCGAAGTATATCAGGATAAGCATATTAAAGAATGAATCAGATGTGAAATCAGTAAATTTTAGACAAATTTTTGATGTATAACTAGAAATATTTTTCGAGGTAACAGTGAACAGTGAATAAGTACCACCATAGTTTGCTGAATTCATAAAGGAGTTTGATTGGAGTTTGCTTAGTTTCTTCGCTCACTGAAGTATATTGTGAGTTTAAATTGCTCAGTGATGTAAGGGTTACAGTTCCGAAATGGCAGTAGGCTGGTTTGACACTAAAATAATCAGTGCAGGTGATTCTACAATTCAAACTTTACTTTAACACTGGACTGAAAGGTGTACCTCATGTACATCTAATTTCAGCCACTATGAATAAATCTATTTTGGTGGATTTCGATTTACGAAATCTACCATGTTCTGAACTCCAAAAGAATGAAAACATCATGAGTAGTCTATGGTGCAACTATTCAAAATAGTTCACCGTTATATATTAACAACTCAACTGATCACCAAATATTAAGTAATAAATCTATGGATTAAGGAACATCCCATTTCTCTCTAATAATATCTGTATGAGTTCCTAGATCACACATTTATTAGAAGAAAGGTGCCTATCACTCATCTAAATGCCCATAACGATTGGTTTTAGGATGTTCAATTCCAATGTTATCATCGATTAGGTTGTTCATTGTGTTAAATAAATGACCACAGAGACTGATGCGTTGACGACCACAATTCCGAAACACAAATATGTACCACGTCAAATACAATTTTCAAAAATGTTAATTCCTCAGCGTTCATTTTCAATAACATCTAGTTTATTCTAGATGTAACGAGATCTATCTACTGAATAAGTTTGATAACTGGATGTTAAAAAGTGTTACTATATTCATCTGCATTAACTCATATATGTTAATCTAAGTTGTGTTTTGTGCTACTTATATTGACATGAGTAGTAGATGATGTTAGTCGTGAACAGAATGTCTGGCATCAGAGAGACAAGAGGATCGAACAGTAAAGAATGGAAACATAATGCGAATTGTATGCAAATGAAAGAACAATGAAGTCTGAGTCATTTTGGGACAATTGATGGACATTCCGCAAATTACGTATCCACTATTTGATTGTTAGATTTTATTAACAAGTCCTGTAATTTTGTGTTAAATATATTCGATTGTTCCCACTGGTGTTCTGTTCACCACAAAGTATAGTTTCATCTCTCAAAATGCTTCTTATCTCTGTCGCTGTTAGGAAGTCCCATCATTTTGTGAGGATAAAGAAGTATCCTGTATTTTGTGAGT